GAGGCGGAGGTTGCAGTGAGCCGAGATTGCGCCACTGCACTCCAGCCTGGCAACAGAGCAAGACTCTGTCTCAAAAAAAAAAAAAAAAAAAAAAAAAATTAGCTGGGTGTCGTTTCAGGATCCTGTAATCCCAGCTACTTGGGAGGCTGACGCAGGAGAATTGCTTGAACCTGGGAGGCAGAGGTTGTGGTGAGCCGAGATTGTGCTACTGCACTCCAGCCTGGGCAACAAGAGTGAAACTCTTAAAAAAAAAAAAATTACTGGGTGATATTAACTGGCTTCACCCCATCTCGGGCATAACCACTGATAAGTTGCAAAACCTGTTTTCTATCCTAAAGGGCAATACAGCCCTAGATTCTGCCAGGTATTTAACCCCTGCAGCACAAAAGGAAATTCAGGAAATAGAACAAGCTATTTCTCAGAGGCAACTAGATCACATAGACCCAAAATATTCAGTTCAATTGTTTGTTTTTCCTACCAAACATTCCCCAACAGGATTACTAGGACAGATGACCCCAGGGCTACGCTTCCTAGAATGGGTCTTTTGCTCACATGCTGGAACTAAAACACTATCTCCCTATATCCAGCTAGTTAGTAAAGTCATCTCTATCGGCCACAGATGATGCAATCTGTTGCTAGGTTATGACCCTGATGTCATAAGAATTCCTCTGAGTAAAAAGCAATTCAAAGCAGCATTGCCTCTATCCATAGATCTTTAGATAGCACTCTCTGATTATGCAGGCCATATAGAGCATGCCCTTCCTGCTGACAAACAACTTCAGTTCGTATCTCCTGTAGTTATGCCTACAAAAGTAGTTCACTCCCCCATACCTAACACTTTAATGCCTTTTAGTAACTCTGCTTACTCTATTTATTTATTGCAGTACCTTAAAACAGCCCTCATTAGGTCCTCTCTCAAGCCCACCCCACCCTTAAAAATATGCTCAGAAAACAAAAGAAGGGGAATACGAGTAAAGACCCTGCAATCCTACTAGCACAAGCCTTATTTATCTTAAATTTCTTAAATTTAAATAACAAATTTCAATCAGCTATAGAAAATCATTTTGCTAACAAGACATAAAACCTGCAGTTTTATGCGAAGATGTGAATAGTAATGTATGGTGTGGTCCAAATGATGTGCTAACATGGGGAAGAGGATATGATTGTGCTCACACCCCCTCAGACCCTTTTTAGATTCCAGCATGACACATCAAACCATACCATGGCATGGCTAGGACCCAACCTGGTACCAGAAATGAAGGAAATGACCCTGCAGGACCCACAGCCCCAGACAATGTGGCTCCGTTGGATGACACAAGCCCCAAACATCACCTGGGGGTTGCTGAAGAAGACGACTCAGGAGACTGAGCAAATCCTGCTCCAAACACAAACACCATTCACTCCAGATGATTTGTCCCTTTTTTATTCTCTCACTTTGCCTGCTACCTGTACCTGCTACGCTCTAGAAAACCCATCTTCTAAATCTGCCTTTTTTCTGTTATTTAGGCAGACAATCCCTTCCCAGCCTCTAATAAATTCCACTGCTTGGCTAGAAAGGATTAACATCCCCCAGTGGGGTCATTTCATCAATGGCAAGTAACACTACAGGTCACTCCTTGATTGGAAAAAAATGTTACCAATCATACTCATGTTTGTTTCATGTTATTTACTAATTCTAGGATGCCAAGCCGGAACACTACTTATAACCACTGTGCCTGACAAACCTGTTGCTGCACACATCTGTGCTCTTCAATCAACAATACCTGATGCAAAAAACAGAAAAGGGGGAGATGTAGGGGATTGGTTAGGGTGGTGGGAAAAATTATAAGAAAGACACAAACGTTCTTGGAAGGCCAGGAGGTTTGCAAAAGCTTCAGGAAAGAATGAGCTGAAGGCAGCTGTTCTTATCCTGGGGCAAAAGACAGTTAACAAGGGAATGTAGGTGAGTTTTTCTAAATAGCTTGTTTACTTATGTTGTCCTAAAACCAACCTTTGATCATTCACAGGCAAGACTGCTTTCTATTTAGTGGGTTGACAATGTCTATTACCCACAAACTGTGCTCGCTCTAGGCCTGTGTCATTAAATTGTACTAAATAAATGCGAGCATCGCTGGCTTATTGAGGCTGCCGCTCACTCTGGCAGGGGTTCCCTAGCTGCACTGACAGGCGAGCTTGTGTCTGTGTACTCTGATTGTCTGTCACTCGGCCAGAGTCTGTGGGACAGACGCGGCAATGACCCTTTCATGGAACAGTTAGTTGCCTGGCCAGCCAGGAGGAGCCAGGAAATCAATGTATGGGTGAGAAGAAGGAAGTATCCTCAGGGGAGATGCCAGGGGCTCTTCTCATCTATGTAGGGTGACATTGCCTGTTTGCTAGATGCCTATGGACTGCCAGGTGAGTACTGGGGTGCCCTGAAAATGTCAGAGGGTCTCAAAGGCTTGTTAGTACAAAGCTCTATGACCCACTGTGGTAAGAAGGGTCACTGAGTGGTGACAACCTGAGCTTGCCACTGTTACGGGCTGTGTGAGTGGCCACAGACCACAGGTAGTGGTTGAGGTGATGTTATAAAAGCTAGAGGAAGAGTGACAGGAAAGCATATGAGAACCTCCACATTTGTGTTGGCATCCAGCTTGGTGGATGAGCTTGATGAGATGGAAACTCTAAGAATAAGAGCTTAAGGACTAAGGGAAACCCTTATAAAGGTTTATAAGTGGCAGTAGCCTGCCACTTTATCTGGCTGATAGGGAGGAAGTTGTGCTGGCTGAAAGTGTGAGCTGTCCTTGCCAAACTGGACTGGGATACTAATCTTTGGCAACCAACTAGTGAGTCAGATAAAGATGTAGAGGTTATTTTGGTGGACAAGGATAACTCTTCTTCCCTTTTGAGAGCAAGACCACTCATGCAGAAGAATGCAAAAACCCAACACATGCAGCCAGGCAATCGCTGACAGCCTTCCCAGGCAACCTTAACTGTCCATGAGTACACCTTGGCAAAATTAGTGGGCATAGCAAACACTTTTAAATAGCTGCAAAGAGAAAGCCTAGCCTCATGGATGATGCAGCTGTGGGACACTTGTGGGGACAGTATTTCCTTAGCGGGGAGTGAAGCTGGAAAAATGAGTAACATTACCCACCCATCCTGCTTGGAGACAGTATTTGCACAACATAGAACAGTTGAGGACAGTCGTAGTCTTAAGGACTGGATTATCCTGGCTATGAAAGAGGCCTGGCCAAATGAAGGAGATTTCGCAGCTCAGACCCTGGCATGGTGCTCTCTGGAGGAAACAGAGAGCAATTTAAGGGAGTTGATGAGCCTGCGTCAGGTAATTTATACCCAACAGTTTGCAAAACTTGATAAAGCTATGTTTACCTCGGGCATGAAAATTAAGCTGCTGCCAGCTGGCCTGCGGGAGTGGAATGGTCCTCTCATGTCCCTGCGGATCCCCCTTTGTGATAAGAGATGTATACGATGTGGGAGAAGCTACAGGTGATTTTGGAAAAACTGGAAAGGTTAGAGATAAAGTCTGACTGGTTACTAAAGGAAAAGGGGAAAAGGGAGAAGGCAATTCTGCCGAACGAAAAAAGGGAAGCCTAAAAGGACTTTAAGTTAGAATGACCGGGAAACGAACTGTGGTATGATCTGATCTCAGCTGGAGTAGGCAAAGAAAAAATAGATCAGCAACCCAGGGCCAGATGAGTGGGCCTTTGAAAGACCTGAATTCTGATCAACAGCTTAGACCCTTCCTACTGTCCTACCAGAAGAAGGAGAAGAAAAAGGCCTCTGTAAAAGAACTCCAGTCTCTGTGTTCCAGGGTGGACTTTTCCCCAGCCTAGTGACTAGGGGTGGGGCCGAGGTTGCCTCCATGCAATTGCAATGGGGGTGGCCAAGCCCCCGTGTGGATGGAGCTCACAATCTGTAGGAGTCCAGAAACAAGCAGAGGACCTTAGCTTTAGTGGACACGGTTGCAGAAAATGCACCTTAATTTTGAAGACTTAGAATGAAAACAAATGAAATATCTCGTTAATAATTTTTATATTCATTGCAAGTGAAATAATAGTTTGAATATACTAGATTAAATAAAATATTAAAAAAAATTTTAAAACGAAGCTGTATTCTCCGAGAATGGCAGTTTTCCCTGGGAGATGCAGCTGTGTCGATGCGTGGGTGTACGTGATTACAAGTGTGTGTTTGTTCAATGGTGACCTGCTGGACAACAGGGGGAAAAAGAGGTAGGTGGATGCCTCTGAATTATATATTTTATTTTATTTATTTATTTTTTGAGATGGAGTCTTGCTCTGTCACCCAGGCTGGAGTGCAGTGGCATGATCTTGGCTCATTGCAACCTCCACCTCTTGGGTTCAAGCGATTCTCCTGCCTCAGCCTCCTGAGTAGCTGGGATTACAGGCGCCCGCCACGACACCTGGCTAATTTTTGTGTTTTTTAGTAGAGATGGGGTTTCACCATGTTGGCCAGGCTGGTCTCGAACTCCTGATCTCAGGTGTTCCACCCGCCTCAGCCTCCCAAAGTGCTGGGATTATAGGCATGAACCACTGTGCCTGGGCCTGAATTATACACTTTAAACGGGTGAAATTTTTTATGGTTTGTGAATTATATCTCAATAAAGCTTTGTTAAAAAAAAAAAACATGACTAACTACAGATCACATCTCACTGACAGCATATTTTTACTGCCTTGAATCCAAAAAGAAATGCCCAGGTACGGGCTAGTGGGGGCAGAGACACACATACCTGTAATCATGTACACAGCTGCGAGTGGTGGGGATGAGTCAGTGGGGAAATTTCGACAGAGTTCAGAGTGATGAGGCAGTTCCCTTACTGCCCTGCCGACTTCTCTCCCCTGGGCGTTGCTCCCTCAGTCTGGATTCACAAAGCCAATGCCTTTGGGAGCCAGGAACTAAATTCTTAGTCAAAGACACCTCCCTCCTGTCCAGTTATGGGTCTCAGGGAGGAAATGGCAGGTAGGGGGTTTCATTCTTTCAGTTTCAGAAAATATTTTCGGACATAACACATTTCCCCTATTAAACAAATTCTGGGGTAAGGGGAAACAGAGAGAGACAATAAGGACATTCCACGTCGAAAAGGATCTCAGCGTTCTCAGTTTAGGGAAGTTGGCCTTGCTGGCTGTGTGGTAGAAAAGCTGATGATGGGTGAGGATTTTGGAGGGTGGGAATGGAGGCAGTTTTGTCATCCCCACATCCGGTTTGTGACTGGACACCATACGGGCTGAGATCAAGTTCAGAGGCAGTCAGCTGGAATCCCTTAGCTCTATTTGCCCTTTTTTGTTTTGTTATTTTGTTGTTGTTATTATTGGAAAAGATAAGGGCAGAGCTATCTGAATGCTTCCTTGAATGCTGACAACGAACTCCATGATTTTTATAAACCCCATGTGAAAAACGTGCTAAGAATCTCTTTTCTTCTTAGCATGTTTTTAAAGCTTAGAGTTTATAAAAATATGGTTTGAAGAAAGTTTGAAAAGATCAGTGGAAAAAAATTCAGCACCAAATTTTCTCTGAAAATCAACTTGTCAAAAAAGACATGACTAACATCCATCCTGTAACCAGCGCATGAATGATCTTCCCTCCTTACGAATGTACTTCAGCAAAACTTTAATCTTGACCCCCCACTTTCCACTTTTAATAGTGGATGGATGAAAAGGCAAGAAGAAAAACAAAGCCAAAACACACCCAGATGTACACTTCCGCCAGCATGGCCCCCGAGGCATTTTGAATTCAGCCACTTATGATCTGTGGATTATTAACTCTACCTCATTTACTTCATCAGCGTAAACAATAGTAAACTGACTGTAGCGAAATACAGAACCATGGAAACATGATTCTATTTTAATACAGGCCCATCAGTTAACCCACAGGCTATGCTACATACGAATAAGAGAAAATAAGTTTCTTCTTAACTATGTAATGTAATTCCAGTGGAATTCGGTAGGTGGCATAGAAGAGCTTTTTTGTTTTACTTTGTTTTCAACACTAAATGTGGTTAACAGTGAAATAAATCTCCAAGGAAGTGCTTGAGTTTCTCACAGACTGCCAAACGGAACAGACAAGCAGGTTGTCTTGGTAAGCGATGTCTTATTTTATTTTGTGAAACAAAATAATTGTATAGCTAGTTATTAAGTACAGAAATTTCAAAAGTCTGTGTAAGTCCTGGGTGTTTTTCTAAGTGGGCTATATTTCTGATATGTATGTAGTTACTGTGTAGTTTGTACTGGCATTTGTGTATCAGTTCTGAGTCCTAAATCAGGGAAAGTCCCCCTGCTGCTCCGGGAATAGCACCTTGTATGTGATTTGCTTACCAGAAATATTTTTGAGTTGGGAAATAAATATCTGGGCCACAAACGTCTTCTGGTTTTCTTCCAGAGCAGCTGCTAGTTGTTGATTTCAGTTGGCATTTCTCTTCACCCCATCCCGCCTTTTTTCTGTTTGCAATGTTAAGGAAAATGAGATATAATTCAGTTTCTCCCAGAGGCAATGCTGCTGTTCAACTCTCCTACTTTTATGGGCAGGTTTGTTTCAGTTTTTTCCTCTGGGCCTTTCCCACTAGCTAGTCCTTCTGTTTCTCAGGCCACTAACACTGTTGTGGGGAGCTAGTCAGGTAGAATTGCAGGTTTTGAAAATGTTTCCCAGGCTACACCTGATTTGGTCAAAAGACTTTAAAGTGAATGTGTTTTATATGTGTTTTTATAACAAACAAAAAGCAAAAGGTCACAAGACCACATAGGAAACGAAGCAGAACAGTTCTTGAACCGGCTCAGATTCTTTTAACCTGTGGTTAATCGCTAGCTGGTCTTGTGCAGAGAAGGCCTTTAGTAAATATTTACGGGGACTAAACTTAATCAGCCAGATAAATTGTATGGATATTATCCATTAAGACCAGCCTAAGCCTTGATTTGACATCCCCAAAGTCTCCAAACTAAGACAAATTAAATGTATTGATTCATTGTATCACGTAATGTGAGGCTAAACCTATCATAATAATGAAAATTGACAGAAACATACCTAGAGGCATTTTACACTTTCAAATTAAATCATCCTTTTCTGCTCAGCTTATTTTTTTTTTTTGGTAGTAAAATAGTATTTTGAGCAAAAAATACTTTGGCCTAGATAGCTGAGACATTAATTTTCATTGATTTAGCAAGTTTGGTATATAAAACTCAAAGATCCTAGAAAATCAGTTATTCCTGTGTATAACATTTTGATTTCTTAATTATAGAAATAATAATGGTTTCATAAACCGAGTACCTGAAATTAATGACTTAAAATGAAAGGGCAAAATGGAGATTGGGCAAATAGAAGATATTTGAGTCGATTAACGTAGCTCAGCATAAAACCGAAGCCCTGCTTTCACTAGATGCTTGCGTTAGCAGTAGTCAATCCACATGGGTCTGTAGCAACTTGATTCTTGCCCCGTTAGTGGAAAGAACTTGTCTGAGGGGCATAAGGCAGAGTGACAGACCGAGGCAAGTTGTAGAGGAAGAGTGACGGTGTCATGCCCAGGACAGGTTCCAGCCCTTACGGAGGTCTGAGGGGAGTGGGTGATGAGCAAATAGCTGAAAGAACACTCAGGGGGCCGTAGGAAGGTGAAAGGTGATTTTATTCAGCAGCCGCTTGCATCAGCACCTTACTTACACTGATTCTCTCAGTCTGTCTGCCTTGTCCCAGCTGCTTAGTCCAGCAGCTTCCACATACAGCTGTGCATCTGGCTCTCCCTTGCCTTCAGGATCAGCAGCTTAACTCTTTCTCTTTCTGGGCATGAGTGAGCCGAGCTGTATCCTGACTCCCCTCTGTCCATTCGCAAAGACAGACAGCTTTGTCTCTCTCTCTTTCTTTGGGCTCCAGCATGCCTGTACAGTGTCAGTAGGGCAATTGTACCTTTTATAGACAATAGTGGCTTACAGCCAAGTGATGAGGCTTACCTATGTTATGACTATGGTGGTGAGCTTCTTTATGTTACATCTACATGACCATGATAACGTGTAGAGTTATACGCCTGCGCTTTAAACTTGCTGAGTTACTCTGGATGTTTACCTTGGCCTATCCTTGACCAAAGCATAGCCACGTTCCTTACAGAGAGTTTATTAAAAAATTCTAGGGCCGGGCATGCTGGCTTATGCCTGTAATCCCCGCACTTTGGGAGGCTGAGGCGGGCAGATCATGAGGCCAGGAGTTCAAGATCAGCCTGACCAACATGGCAAAACCCCGTCTGTACTAAAAATACAAAAATTAGCTGGGCATGGTGGTAGGTACGTGCCTATAATCCCAGCTACTCAGGAGGCTGAGGCAAGAAAATCACTCAAATCCAGAAGGTGGAGGCTGCAGTGAGCTGAGATGATGCCATTGCCTTCCAGCCTGGATGACAGAGCAAGAGACAAAACAGAAGTTTTATATCAGGAACGAAAGGAAGTAAAGTATACTTTGAAGAGAGATCCAAGTGCCTAGTTTAACCTTTGACTTGGGGCTTATTTGTTGGCAGGCTTGTGGGGTTTTGCGTCTCTTCTCCACTGATTCTTCCCTTGGGGTGGCCTGTCTGCATGTGCAGTGGCCTGCCAGCAGTTGAGGAGGCCGCATGCACACTGTGTTTACTGAAGCTGTGCACATGCTCATTGGAGACATTTTCCCCTTCCCAGACAAGCATTCCTAGAGGAAGGTCACATGCCAGTTAAACGCCACCATTTTGCCTCTTAGTATGCATGCTCGAGCCTGCTTGCCCAACTCCTGAGAGTTTATCAGGAGGCTGCTAACCACCATCTTCAGGTGTGTTTTCTATCGATTAGGAGACTGACTTTCCCTGGTGCTGGCTGCAACCGGTGATTATTCTAGAGAGACTGTTTAACAACTACCTGACCATCAACTGATGGTCACCTGATATTCCTGGTTGGGTGGGGGGCCTTCTCCTGCCCTGCTCATGTCAGCCTAAGTACCTACTCTAACACTTGGGGACAGGCAGTTTTAGAAATTTATATCTTTTTGTGACGATGGCTGTTAAGGGAAAAAGGACAACTTTCATCTTGCATGTGGTAGGTTCTGTGAGGCAAGCACTCACACCCTTGCAGGGGGTCCTGTCTGCCCTGTCTCTATGATCACTTTTTTTTTTGCACTGTCGCCCAGGCTGGAGTGCAGTGGTGTAATATTGGCTCACTGCAACCTCTACCTCCCAGGTTCAAGTGATTCTCCTGCCTCAGCCTATTGAGTAGCTGGGATTACTGGAGTGTGTCACCACGCCCAGCTAATTTTTTGTATTTTTTTTAGTAGAGACGGGTTTCACTGTGTTGGCCAGGCTGGTCTCAAACTCCTGACCTTGTGATCCACCCATCTCGGCCTCCAAAAGTGCTGGGATTACAGGCATGAGCCACTGTGCCTGACCTCTATGATCACTTTTGCATACTGTGACTGACAATGCTGATCACTCCTTCCATGGACTCGGGTATTGGCTAGGAGTTGGAAAGAGCCCTGATCTGGATTCAGGCATAGGAATAAGCAGGGGACCTTACTTGGACCATAAGGCCAGACCACTTTTGCTTCGACCTGTAACAGATTGCTCTGTTTTGAGATATTAGGCACTGCACCAGGGTATTATTTTTATTCCTATTATTTTAGTCCATTTGGATTGCCATAACAAAGTACCATGGACTGAGTGGCTTATAAACAACAGACATTTATTTCTCACAGTTCTGGAGGTGAGAAGTCTGAGATCAGGATGGTAATGTGGTTGGGTTCTGGCGAGGGCCCTCTTCTGGTTTGCAGATGCCACCTTCTTGTATTTTCACATGTCAGAAAGACAGCCAGAGAGCTCTCTGGAGTCCTTTTTATAAGGGTACTAATCCGACTCATAAAGGCTCTGTCCTTATGACTTATTTACTTCCCAATTCTCTCCTGCTGATACCATCACATTGGGGGCTAGGATTTCAACATAAGAATTTCATGGGGCACAACCATTCAAGCTATAATATCCATTGAAGTATTACTCCTTGAGTGAGCAGCTCTTTCAGGAAGCTGGAGATGAAGAATTGGGAAATTTCTGCATCTTTCAGTCAAATACAATCAATGTCATAAAAACACCACCTTGACTTTTGACATGAACTTTCATGTCTGCATCATCTTCCTTGCTCAGGGTCTTCATGAACACTAGTAGAGTGCCAGGCCTTCTTCCGTGTTGGAAGAAATCAGGATAACAAAGGCATATCGGGCTCCTCTGCAAAAGAAATCAGGATAATAAAGGCATATCGGGCACCTCTGCAAAACAGTAAGTCCAAGGAAGGCTCCAAAACCCAGATAAGTTTGCATGTCTACATTGGGGGATTTTGAATTATTTAGGTTCTCTGTGCTCATTGAGATATGGGAGGGGATATGTGAAGAGGAATTTGGTGCTTTGCTGATGCTGATGGATTGCTTGTCTGACAGTTCTAGGGGATTTTGAATAAGTTCCTTGTGAGAACTGTGTAGCTGTGTAATCCCAGCTGAAAGGTCTCTGAAGGTGAGGCGTGCACACTCTAGAGTTCATCCTAACGCGGCTCGCACTATTCTCACATGCCACTGGAATGCTGGCCACAAAATTGTGTCTGAGCTAGAGTGGTTTGAATACTGGTACAATAGGCATAACCTAAAACGATGCCTACCACTGCGTAGAGAATACATACATATTTGATGAATGAGTAAAAAAAGTACTCTGAACAAGAGAGAGGAGGAAACATCTCCCTTTCTTGAAACCTTCCAGGGTTCGCCACCCCCCATCATTCTTGGAATAGAATCCCAACTCCTTGCAATGATCGACAAAGCCTGAGTGATCTTGGCTCTAACTCCTGTCATCTTCCCTCATTCCATGCTAACATTGACCTTCCCACTCCTTCTCAGACAAGCCAAGCTCAATTTCGTCTCAGGACCTTCATACTTGCCTTTTGCCAGAAATGTTCTTCCCCCAGATCTTCCTATAGGTTACTCATTCACTTCATTCTGATTTCTACGCTAGTGTCATCATCTCAAAAAGGCCTTCTCTAATTCATCACTCAAAATAGCCACACCAGGCCAGGCTTGGTGGCTTATGCCTTCTAATCCCAGCACTTTGGGAGGCCAAGGCAGGTGGATCACATGGTCAGGAATTCAAGTCCAGCCTGGCCAGATACTGAAACCCTATCTCTACTAAAAATACAAAAATTAGCCAGGCATGGTGGCGGGTGCCTGTAATCCCAGCTACTGGGGAGGCTGAGGCAGAGAATTGCTTGAATGCGGGAGGCAGAGGTTGCAGTGAACTGAGATTGTGCCACTGCACTCCAGCCTGGGTGACAGAATGAGACTCTGTCTCAAAAAAAAAAAGACACCTCCAAGCACTATCTCATACCTACTACAATTTACCTTGCTTTATTTTTCTCCGTAAAACCTATCACTACAGGAACTTGAGTTTGGTCATTCATCTATTTTCTGTCTCCCCACTAGGTAAAAACCTCCGTGGGAATTTGGACTTTATCTTGTTCACTGGTCTGTCTCCAGTTCCTAAAACATGGCCAGGAGTTGATCAATAAATATTGGTTGAATAAATAAATAGATGAATAAATGGATCATCTGAGACACCTTTTATCATAATCTAATTACCTTTTGAATAAGACCAAAGTTAGACCCCAACTGTGTATAGGTCATAAAGGGTAATAGAAGAGCAGTCCCAATACCAGCATTTGGGATACCTCTCGAGAAAGTCATATGGAGATGCATGTCAGAGAATGAAAGTACACCATGTGTGTTTTAGCTGGAGTTCTAAATTATTTTGGGAAATCTTGGGGCCAGAGAACTTTCCATGAACCCATCTGTATTAGTTTCCTGAGGCTGCTGTAACAAATTATCATAAACATGGTGGCTTTTCCTTTATCCATCTGGAAAGCAGAAGTCAAAACTCAAGGTGTCAGCAGGGCCGCCCTCGCTCCAGAGGCTCCTCTAGTTTGTGGTAGCTATTGCTGTCCCTTGCCTTGTAGCTGCTGCACTCGTTTCTGCCTCCACTGTCACGTGGCCTTCTCTTCTGTGTCTCGGTTGTCTCTTCTCTTGTCTCTCTGTCAAAAGTCCCTGTGCCTTTCTCTTATAAGGGCATTTGTCATTGGATTTATGGCCTGCCTGGATAATTTGGGATGACCTCCTCATGTCAAGATCCTTAACTTTATTATCTCTGCAAAGACCCCTTTCCCAAGGAAGGTAACATTCCTGGCTTCTGGGGATTAGGACATGGTTAAGATGTAAACATATCTTTTGGTGAGCCACCATTCAACCTATTACCCTAACTGTATTAAAATTAATTTCATTAGAGCTGGCCTAATTATTTACCTGTATATGTATATTTCCCTAGTTTTAGACTGTATAACCCGAAAGAATGTAGACTTCATTTTATGAGTCTCTAATAAAGAAATGTTTAATGTCAGCCATGATTAATTTCGTGTATTTTTAAAATGTATGTAATGTATCTCATCATTTTATGTATTTTTTTTCTAGAATCTGTATCTGTATCAAGATGCTCTGAAGAACAGCTTCTACCTTTAGGAATGCCTAGTGTTACAAAATGACTAGCATCTTCCATTTTGCCATTATCTTCATGTTAATACTTCAGATCAGAACACAATTATCCGAAGAAAGTGAATTTTTAGTTGATAGGTCAAATAACGGTCTCATTCACATTCCTAAAGACTTATCCCAGAAAACAACAGTCTTAAATATATCGCAAAATTATATATCTGAGCTTCGGACTTCTGACATCTTATCACTGTCGAAGCTGAGGATTTTGATAATTTCTCATAATAGAATCCAGTATCTTGATATCAGTGTTTTCAAATTCAACCAGGAATTGGAATACTTGGATTTGTCCCACAACAAGTTGGTTGAGATTTCTTGCCACCCTACTGTGAACCTCAAGCACCTGGACCTGTCATTTAATGCATTTGATGCCCTGCCTATATGCAAAGAGTTTGGCAGTATGTCTCGACTAAAATTTCTGGGGTTGAGTGCTACACATTTAGAAAAATCTAGTGTGCTGCCAGTTGCTCATTTGAATATCAGTAAGGTCTTGCTGGTCTTAGGAGAGCCTTATGGGGAAAAAGAAGACCCCGAGGCCCTTCAAGACTTTAACACTGAGAGCCTGCACATTGTTTTCCCTGCAAATAAAGAATTCCATTTTATTTTGGATGTGTCAGTCAGGACTGTAGCAAATCTAGAACTATCTAATATCAAGTGTATGCTGGAAGATAACGAATGTTCTTACTTCCTAAATATTCTGGCAAAACTTCAAACAAATCCAAAGTTATCAAGTCTTACTTTAAACAACATTGAAACAACTTGGAATTCTTTCATTAGGATCTTCCAGCTGGTTTGGCCTGCAGCCATACAGTATTTCTCAATTTCAAACGTGAAACTACAGGGTCAGTTGGACTTCAGAGATTTTAATTATTCTGGCACTTCCCTGAAGGCCTTGTCAATACACCAAGTTGTCACCGATGTGTTCAGTTTTCCACAAAGTGATATCTACAAGATCTTTGCAAATATGAACATCAAAAATTTAACAGTGTCTGGTACACACATGGTCCACATGCTTTGCCCATTCAAAATTAGCCCGTTTCTGTATTTGGATTTTTCCAATAACCTCTTAACAGACACAGTTTTTGAAAATTGTGGTCACCTTACTGAGTTGGAGACACTTATTTTACAAATGAATCAATTAAAAGAACTTTCAAAAATAGCTCATATGACTAAACAGATGAAGTCTCTGCAACAACTGGATATCAGCCAGAATTCTCTAAGCTATGATGAAAATGAAGGAGATTGCTCTTGGACTAAAAGTTTATTAAGTTTAAATATGTCTTCAAATATACTTACTGACTCTGTTTTCAGATGTTTACCTCCC